CTCGTAGGCACGTTTTTTTACGTATTTTTCTTGAAAAACGCATGAAACCCCAAAAAAATCGAAAAAAAATTTATTGTCTTTTTTGGATGTAAAAAGCTCGTAGGCACGTTTTTTACGTATTTTTCATGAAAAACGAAAAAAAAATCGAAAAAATTTTATTGTCTTTTTTGGATGTAAAAGTCCCGTTGACACGTATTTTTCATGAAAAATGAAAAAATAGAACAAAATTTTATTGTCTTTTTTGCATGTAAAAGGCTCGTTGGCACGTTTTTTTACGTATTTTTCTTATTACCTTAAAATTAGCCAAGCAGCCATCAAAGCACTAAGCTCAAATATCATTAGTTCAAACATGGTGCTGAACTGCAAAACCAAATTAAACTTATTAGGTACGCAGAACAAAGTCAGCATCTGCTGGGTCCCAGGACACATGGGAGTAGAAGGCAACGAGAAAGCGGACACCCTTCCACACCACTGACAGGACCTGAACCCTTCTGTGGGATAGGAACCCACACTATTAATGACTATCTCTGACGGACAAAAAGAAAATGAAGGAAAAATGGAGTTCACTTATTGGCCACAGGCAATACAAGAATCTCTTAACAAATTTCAGAAGAAAAGAAATTACAGAACGTCTCAAAGGAAGCAGGAACAAACTGGGAATCCTAACAGGATTCTTAACAGGACACAGCAAGCCAAATGGACACTTAAAGAAGATTGGAATAATCCAAGAAGGCACGTGCAGATTCTGCAAAGTGGCAGGGGAGACACCAACACATTTACTAACAAACTGCGCTGTTTGTGGAACACTTGCCCGCAGGTGGAAATGTTTTGGGATGTACAATGTGACCATAGAAGAGCTTCAACCACTGAAACCGGGCCAATCACGTTCCTTGATGAACTACGACTCACCGATGTGCTTTAGGCAGAGGACGGGGGATACAATAGCTTTTAAAGGGCACAGTATATTACGTCTACATCTACATCTACCTTAAAATTACAAAACATTCCATCAATATCTTTCTACACATCCCAATGCCACTACCATACCAGATAATCCCCGTCGACTTAGACGCCGATAGCCACGTGATGTATATGTATATGTATATATCCATGTATATGTGCCCAGTAGTGCGAAGAAATTTAAAAAAAAATTCTTCTAAAGGAGGTTCACCACCGGATGAATTCTCACATGTTTTTCACGACAATTTTGTTCTTAGGGCATTTTTATCATTGTAATTGTTTTATAGGTGTAAAAATCAATAAAAAGAAAAAAGAGCATACGGAGTATACCGAAGAATTTCAAATGTGAAAGGAAAAACAAACTCGAGTGGAAAAATTGTTTATCCCGCCGTATTTCTCCCAGTCGGGATGAGGCCCGCTCTCAAGTAAATCACCTGTGTTTATAAGCAACTTTGATTAAGGAGACGACTAATTGCGGCATCGGTGAAGCAGAATGGAATGATAACTCGGCATTATGTAAGTTAGGTTTGGAAAGGGGGTACTTGAAGGAACACTGACCAGGAGGCCATTCTATAAAAGTGCCTCTTCACTAAATCACAGAGAGCCAATGGGCTATTTACAAAAATAGGCTTTTATTTGAACTAGGGCTCGAAACGAGCGAAACCTGAAAAATCCGTAAAGGCGGGCTTAGCTGTACTTTCGCCTGCAACGCACTGAGCGACTATCCTTCTTTCAAAATGTCCGAATCATAGTTCTGGAACTCTATTGCAACTATCATTCTCAGATAGATATTAATCATAAGTTATCATTAACCGCTATGTAGTTAACGATCACAGACTAACTTTGAAATTATTCTCGAAATGTTGTTATTTTTAAAGATGTAAAAGATGAAAAAGTAAAAGATGAATTTTTTTATACATATTGAATATTACAGAAATTAAAATAAAAAGAAATAGTGAAATTAGTACATATATATTTAGTCTCATCCAAGACCTTAGATCAAAATTATAATTAATTAAAATAAATAGTCATAATAATTATGAATTCTAAATAAATATGGACTGATATTAGTTATTTATGAGGAGAAAATCTTGATGTTCTTCTTTTTCGTGCTCAACTTTACTTCCGTTCTTCAAAATTGTTAATTTGTTTTCATTTAAAAAATTGAAAAAATGTTCAAAGAATATTGTTTTTTTTTACGTAGGTTTGCAACAGCAGAGGTCATATCAACCCTCATGGTGCCGGTGTGAAAAAAGCCCATTTGTAAGTATGTCGGGTTCGAGTGCAGGGCCGCTGGATTCGAACCCGGGTCCTTTACCTTACAGCGATGAGCGCCGTGTCAACGCCTAAACCGTTGCGGCCACTGACGAATGATCCAATCCTCTTTCTCATTTATTTGCTACTGCAGTCTACACGATTTTGACTTCACCCACTGCTCAGGAATAAACTATCTAATTTTTTTTCATATTCCCAGTTTATCTGTGGTTTACAAAAATGGAATTGAAACTAGAATTCATAGCAGATTATTTCTGTGAGATATCTGGCAGGTGATGGACTTAGAACGACAAGGAATATGGATGTAGATCGCTCAAATGAAACTTCTGTCCATGGCTTTGGTAAGACCTCACTATGGTAGGTCAAGAACAAGTCGTAACCAACTGCCAACAGTATCTGGAATATCGTGAGAAATATAATTTTAATTTTAAAAGAACAACTGAGGAAAAGGTGCTTCGGAAAAGCAGTCGGTTTTTTGGCAGTTTGGGACCGCTTAGTATTATCTTTGACCGGCTTCTTTTCCATACTAGTGCCTCAAAAGTCTTCTATTATTATCGGAATTATATTTCTTATGAGTATCAGTGAGGATTGCCTACCCGAGTACTGACAATTATATATAAATTCACTAGTTTTCGCGGTTTGCTTGACCAATTAATATATTACAATTAATTAAGGTTTTTAGTTGAGATAAAAAAGTCAATGGCACGAGCGGGATTCGAACTCACGATCTGTCGTCGAGAATCCAATCTGATTACACGACATTTGAAAAATGGCAAAAAGGAGGGAAAATTCAAAAGGTGGGGTTGAGATGGGAAGTTAGTGTCCGAGTGGATTGAGGTCACGATAGCTCAAGTGGCAGAGCAGCGGCGTATCTAGCCGAAGGCCGTAGGTTCGAATCCCGCTCGTGACACTGACTTTTTTATCTCAACTAAAAACCTTAATTAATTGTATGGTATTAATTGGTCAAGCGGACAACGAAAATAGTGAATTTAATAAGTTTAAAATGAAGTATCCTTCACTAAATCTTTCCGTGGCTATTTCATTTGTCGCCGAGAATCAAATTGATTACACGACATTTGAAAAATGGCAAAAAGGAGGGAAAATTCAAAAGGTGGGGTTGAGATGGGAAGTTAGTGTCCAAGTGGATCGAGGTTACGATAGCTCAAGTGGTAGGGCAGCGGCGTATCTAGCCGAAGGCCGTAGGTTCGAATCCCGCTCGTGACACTGACTTTTTTATCTCTACTAAAAACCTTAATTAATTGAATTATATATAAAGTTACATCCCTGGGATACCGACTGCTAAGTCCTTTCGGATTCCAATCCACTCATAAATTTCAAACCGAGGAAACATCCCTTATTCTCTTCTTCTAGTTCATTCTTAAATACCTCCAATTCTATGCACAACAGGAGACCAACCAACTTGCGCTATATTTGGAAAGAATATGTAAAGAAGTTAAATTTAAGACAACACCCCCCCAAAAAAAAAAAAAAATTAAAAACAGTTAGAGAAGCATTCCAGACATTACTTAGTTAAGCTGTGTTTTCCTTGAATAACTCTACAAATATTTATTGCGTAAGACGTGTTAGAAAAATCTAGTTTTTTATAAAACGTTGTCCAATTAATATTTAATTGCTTTGTCTATAATTTTAATTTAATTTCATTTTGCTGTAATCATTTTATTAATTCAAAACACATTTACATATAATGAGCTATTCAATTAATTTATAATCTCCTACTCTTTTATTACTGAAATATTAGTGTTCAAAAATACGGTGATAACGTTAATTCTCTTTAATTTCAATTAATTAAGGTTTTGGTTGAGATAAAAAAAGTCAGTGTCACAAGCAGGATTCGAACCCACGACCTTCGGCTGTAACTATCGTGACTTCGATCTAATCGGACACTAACTTCCCCTTTTGAGGTAAATTCTTATCTCGCAGGTTCTCTCATTCGCAACGACGTACTAAGGTCGTGGGTTCGAATCCCGCTCGTGACACTGACTTTTTTATCTCAACCAATACCTTATATAAAGATTAATTGCTTATTATTATTATTAATCTCTGAGGAGGATTTCTCTTCAAAATTTTATAAAAATACTTTTGCGAGTATTACCCATTTTAGTCTGCCTTTTTGTATATGTGTCCGTCTAATTTAAAGTAAGTTGTTTCGTAATTTGTATTATGTTTGTGGGCTATGCGTATTCCCTTTCACGGTTTTTGTTTAGTGCTTTTTTGTTTACTTTATTTACGTTTGATATGTCAAATGATACTAATTTAGTGGTAGTTTTAATTTATAACTACACAGCCCCTTCCCGCAACATCCAAGGACTCATATCTAAAATTTCACTCCACAGGAAGAAATCTCACAATTTTGTATACACCTTGTTATAAACACGTTGTGGTTATACAGAAAGAGAATAATAGAGGAAGATCCCCGCCGGTTTCCGGCCGTTTTCAATTTCACGCCTGCTTTAAACAACTCCAAACTTTGTACATTCCAGGAGTCGGGCCCAGGGGAGTGATTCGTGACCGGACGAATATTAATCCCTGTTTAGAAATAGGCTCGGCTTTCTATTGATATACAAGAAGTCGAAATACACCGAAGAACGCTGAGTTTGTCGCAGTTGTGTCCAGGCGGTTTGAAACATTTCCAAATCCATTTTTACCTTTATACTCGGAGGATATCCGTCATGCTTACACACTCAGGGTTAATCGGGTTTAGTTTGGGGTTAAGCGTTAGTTAATCTCATCCTTTCAATACTCACTTTTCAAACTTACACAGGTTTTTCGCTGCGTTCTTCAAAAACCGCAAAAAAAATTTGCCGCCGGTTCGGAAATCTAACTTCCTATTCCATCTGCAATCAACATCGAAATTTACAATAACTTTGTCAAGAACATTACTATGTTTTAGTGTCAAAAAAACGTTTACAACTATAACTTTACTAATAAAAATGTTATTTTCTAAAATTAAAACCCTTTTTATAATAAAACCATTACGATTACCTCATCCATCACGATAAGTGAACTAATCACTTTAAAATCCAGATCGTTACATAAAAACGGATTTATGAGGTTTGCTAAACGTCTTAGAATCAAATACTGATTTAGTCATAATGCATTTCTCTTTCCAGGTTTATGTATTTTTAGTCACAAAAGAATTCGATGTTTAAAATCACTGGGGCGACAGGTGCGCCCTCCAAATTAATCTCGTCGTTCACCGCTAACGACTCTAATTTTAGAAAGGTGTCTAACCACTGTAATGTCATAGGTCGTAGGGCGAAGAACAAAGGCAAGATTTTTTAAAAAAAAGACGGGAAATAGTCTTTTACCAGACTACAAGCGTAATGAGAAAAAAAGCACCATTTGGCTAAACGTCGGCGCATAAAACATCAATGATGATTTGCCTGTGTTTGTGCCATTTGTTAACCTATGAGAACAGATCGTCTGGTCCTTTTTGGTCAGATTTCGAGTTGATCAACCGATTATAATTGCCAAAAAATTACGACTTACCAACAGACGCTTTTAAAATAGCGTCAAAAGTAGTTGGTAAAGTTTTGCTAAAAGATGGACTGAAACAATTATATTTTTAAATTGTAATAAAGGCATTTTCTCTGTAGGCAGCAATGGATTTAAGAATATTGTGTGCCATAGATTATCCCCTAAAGGCAAATTCCTACTGATATACTGACGGCTTCAAAACCGACAAGGGCATGGGAGCTGGAGTCTTCGGGTGAACTCAAAAATCGAACTGACGGTAAACCCAGGCAAGTATGCTACAGTTTTCCAGTCTGAAATCATAGAGAACAAGGTGCCAGAGAAATAAAAAGGCTGGGAATACATTCCCGGAAGATAGCCATTTTCTCTGATAGCCTCATGCGAGACGAAGGCAAAGAGTGTTTGGTAATGGAGGCCCTGACGGAAGTCAGCGACACTAATGGCTGACCCTGCATGGGTACCTGGACATTCGGGGCATAGAGGCAACGAAAAGGTGGCCAAAAAGGGAGCCAACATGGAATCTCTGAGCCCAGAACCCTACTGAGGCCTAACAGCCTGCCACAAAAGAGGATACATCTTACAATGGATCCTTAATGGGTACAAAACCTGGTGGAACAATACCACAGGTATAAGGCGAAGAGATTCTTAGAAGGACCATCCGCAAAACATACAAAAGAATTACTGGAAGGCAGCCGCAACCGAACCAGGATTCTGATCGGACTCCTGACGGGGCATGAGGTTCCGCATACTCGGTCATCCTAAAAAGGACTCTGAGGATCTTAGCGTCCGCACCTAGCCTATTCGGCCTTATCGGACGTTTTGATTCTCAAGATGAGAGCTGACGCACCTCCGCATACGACAGGATGGTGTTTCTGCCGCAGCATTGGTGTAGAGGCAGCTCAGCCCCGTAGGGCCAAGACAACCTCGCTCCCCGCTTGTCCATTCCAAGTAGCCGGAGCATCAGACCGTATACCGCGCGCGGGTTTTATGCTACCTAAGCCTAAATACATCAGCCCGGTCTCCCGCGCGCTCCCTAGATAGAGAAGGCGACTCTATCTCCCAGAGTGTTGGGGCTCCTCAAACGTCGAAACGTCCGAATCCATTCCGGCCGCGGTTTCATTTAAAGTGGAATTTCTAACCGAAGGATAAGTGTGTGACGTGGAGGGTAAGTTATTAGCGAGAATGGATATGGTTCAACTATTCCCGAACCAAGTACTCTGTGGCCAGTCTTCTATGCTTGTATCAGGTGTTTATGTTCTTTGAATGAAAGCAATTTATTAGCGTGAAAGAAAGGGGTTTTTTAACCCCGCCTCAAGGTATATCGAGTACAATGGGTGAGTATGACCAGATTTCTGTGTTTTTATTGGGTGTTTACTGCGGTGCTACAATTACGAGCAGGAAGAAGTGCTTCGGGACAATGTGACCGTAGAAGAAATTCAACCACTGTTACCGGGCCTATTAATCAATTTCTTTGATAAATTAGGATACATGGTGTGCTATAAGTGCAGAACTGGGGATGCAACAGCTCTCAAAGTGCGCAGAACATGACACACCCCGAACATTACGTCTTATAAGACAAGCAGTTTTCATTTATTTAAAAATAGCATCAAATGCTCCTACATCTTTTTACCTGGTCGATAGTTCGGAGTACAATAGTATCGAAAAAGTTCTAAAAATTTTATCTAAACACTTTGAGAGTTTTTTTAAACTATTTTATATCTGATCGAAGTATGACCGGTTGAATGCGAATTTGACAATCAACTGAGACCACAAGTTCAGAACAAGAGCGACACTGAGCGGACCGAAGATGACCGTCAAACTTGACAATTTAAGACACGCCTGCCGCATACCAAAATAGGTAATTAAAAATGTGTGTAGTCTGTTTGGGGTTATGGTGACTAAGTTGATCTCACGTGGTGTATAATGACTACCAAAAGCCCTCTATTATTAGTGCCAACTATAAATATCTCTTCTGGCTGGGTCAGTCATCTCGTGCTTTTCGGAGCGTATCTTTTTTTTTCGTACAAAAAGTGGTTATATTTTCAAGCTATTTAACTCAGGGAGGTACCAAGGTAGAAGAAATAGGTTACTGTTTTGCATATATTCAGGGAGGTTCCGTTAATACTATCCACATTTATTTTAAAGTTTGTAACGAACTATTTATAAATGATGCTGAACTTTTTAAAAAAATTTTTTTAAACTAAATGCCAGTTTTTAAACATATTGCATTGAGACGTAGTATAAATTATATAT